ATATGTGGAAATGTTTATTATTATATGTAAAGGTCGTTATTATATACGTTTATGTTTATTCAGTTAAAAATGTTAACTATGAAAAAACATAGTCACCTCCAAATCATAGTGCAGCAAATAGAGCGGCTGCTCCCGTCATCTTTTATCCACCGCCTTTTCTTTTTGTTACATCTTTTATCTCTTAAAATGACTCCACAAACTATCACTATTGAACTACATCGTCATCCGTGTTTGGTTATTCTAAATTCCCGCTATGTTGGGGATTTTGTGGATTTTCTTCTGGAATCGCGATGTTCGTGACTGGAATCGGTTCGTGTGGTTTGTTGCTCCTGCCGTGTGGCTGAACACGAACCGATCGAACCTGTTGTACTTTTATCAGCTCTGTGGTAACAGAGGTTTGGAGAATCGGCTGACAATCCTTAAATCTTGCCGTCTAAACCAGACTTAAGACTCACAAGCTCTACTCATCTCCTCTCACCACTGCCCAAACGCTCTGACTCTGGTCGCTATGGTAACGTTTACATATCCCTTCAAAATAAGATACAGATGCGCCACGAAAACGAACATTTTACTTTAATGAAAATTTTGACTCAGAAAACGACAAATCAATGGGAGCCCTGAGCTTGTTTCTCTGCAACAAGACAGTCCCATCTGGGAGTGACTGGAGACAATGACACCCGAAGTGTTGCTTATGCACAAGGTGCTCGGTCTCTAAGTGGCGACGCGGTTTGAATGCAGATCGGGCTTGGAATGTGGGAATCAGTATGGTGAGGGATTCTCATGTCTCTTCTCAGGACCTTGTCCCCTAAGCAAAAATTTTTTTTTCCAAAGTGTGATCTGTTTCTTACTCATTTTGCTGCTTGTGGGATCAATGTTGGCGCGCACGACATAACCTAGAGAATCCGGTAAAAAAAAAAAAAAAAAAAAAAAATTCTCCAGACTCAGGTAATACATAAAACGGAAATATTTAATTATTTCTTGTGGGCAGCCCGGTACCAATTGGTCCACAGACCGGCACCGGTCCGCGGCTCGGGGGTTGGGGACGACTGCTGTTTGGCATGTAAACACATGCCAACATTTGGAAACGGATATGTTGTGTGTGTGACCTGTACAAACCTCTCAGTGACCTACTTTCCTTAGATAGCTGACTCCTGATGGGCACAACCCCCTTCACAGGGTTTGCTCTAAGGCGTTCCCTCCCACTGGCTGCTTGACACAGTGTTGCATAACCCCTTTAAAGTCCAGACTCTTCAAATAAGGAATGTTAACTTGATCGTGGACTTGAAGATTAGATAACCTTTCATGCTGGTTGTCTTGTATACTGTAGATTTAGATCTCCCATAAAAACCTACTGGAACATTTTTAAGGTTAGCCGTAACGTCATTAGCCAAAGTCCTTCAACGCCCTAGGAGACAAACAAGAGTTTAAAGTTTAAAAATAAACTTTAAAATGTTATTCAGTGACTTGCACAATCAAAATGAGCAAACAAAATATACTAGACAGACTTTATATCTAGTTTTCATCATTCCAAAATTACAAACTGTTATGTTGCAACCATAATTTATTATTGCACAAAGTATGAAAGGATCAATTTATTTAATCCATGTATACAGTTGTTTAGTGAAAGTCTCAGTGGTTTGCTGGGAACCATTCATGAGTAAACAGAAAATGAGATCTTCACAAAAATGCCTAAAACAGTATGTCATGGGTCTTTCACATTGTTGTCTGAGTCTGAGTTGGGTCTTTGCCTCTCAGCTTTCAAACTGGATTATGACAGAAAACATAGTAATAATCATCTGACAAATTCATAAAGTAACTCATTATAAACATTTAACAAACTATGACAAATGACATCTGTAACAATCAAGAAGAATCGTAAAACAGAGTTTCAGTGTGAGCAAGACGTTTTATCACGTAGACAGGCGTGACTGTGGGGGGATGGGGCCTTTTCAGTTTGAACAGCCTGTTGCTCAGCCTCATAGCAAATTTAACCTACATAGATACGAATGCTAACAAAACACACTTCCTGTGACAGACATTGGATGAGACACTTTAAAATTAAAACTATAAATGTATTTATCTTGTTTGTTGACGCCATTAAGCATAGGTTCATATAAAGACACTGCATACACGTAGTAGTGTTTTATGCGTCAACGGGGTCTTTTTTAACCAAACTTAGTATGAAATATGTGAAATTTTTGAGGTGAAAACAGCTGCTCAGTGTTGTTTTTCCGACTTCTCAGGAAATACCCGAAAACAGCCCCAACAAAGGAAGGGGGAGGAGGATTAGCGATTGACGTCAGCGCTCTGGCAACAGGCTCGTATGCGTCTGCTCCTCTGGTCGCCGATTGGTCGTTCGCCTCGCAGGCGAGACACGATTGGTCAGAACTGTTAGCGCAACGAATACATATTTGTGCTACAGATTCCATTTTGTTGCAGTTCAGTGTCGGGAGGGAGAAGTGGCGTATTTACGGCCACTGGTAACAACATATAAGCCTCGAGAGTGACAGATTTGTAGGAAATATAGCTTTGCTGTTCTTCCTACAGTATCTGCCGAAGGATATCCGAGGCTACCTATATTTTTTTTCGACGAAAGGCTTCAACAACAAAGCCTGAGGAAGTCGGTAAGCGAAGCAGCTTTGTATGCGGTCGCCATGTTGAGTTCAGTTTCTTTGTTTTGGTTGGGTGCCAGACTGACTCACGTAGATGTTTAATGAATTAGATTTTTAGAAAATGTTTGTAATTATGAGTTAATTACAACATAATGAGGAATGAAATTTGACTAGATGTTTTAGATAAAAATGTCCTTGCATAAAAATTGTTTTCAATTAATTCTGAAATAATTAAGCAATGAATTAATTTAGTTTTGTTATGTAACCTTTTTAAAAATTACGCAATTTTTAATTTAATCTTATGTTATCTAAAATGAGAGGGTTAACGGTGTTCGGGCTGCAGTCTGTTGATGACGCACTTTGCAAAACAGTCGAACAACAAGTAATGAATGCTTTGTTACATAATCTGATGTGCAGTTGAACCGTTATTACGTGCACTTTTGTTTCTCTGCACATTCAAAACACATTTCTGTGCCGTTTTATTTTACAGGCAGTCGACTTCTTGGAGCATCGTGCGCCGAGAATTGATGTTCAGCTCGGCTTCACGGCAAAACAACGATCATTGGCACATGAAAACCTCAGACCTTGCTGGACACACAAGTGCAGCGAGAAGTAGACAGAGAACTACTTCGAGGACCTGGGGACCGATCGGCGGTGAAAGATTAAAGCAGGATCTCATCGTCTTCAGCCTGACAACAAAGAGGTGAGCTGGAGCTGTTTTGCTTCTGTGAGTGGGGGAGGGGCGCAGCTCTCTGGTGTTGCTGCACGTAGGCGCTTGTTTTTCTTCAACAGGGCTGAGTCCATTCGTCCCTTTGCCAATTTTTACCCCCTATTTCTACTCAATTGTCACAGAATAAAAGCGTGTATCAGATGTTATCATGCATTCTGTGATCAAAACAAAAACAGAAAAATAACATGTAATAGTTTTTGTTCATTTAAATTGGAGACCAGAAGTTGCGAAATATGGTGCTTGCAGTGTGGTTATTGTACAAGTAAATGTAGGTAAATGAAGCTGAGATTTACTCACAAGTCAATAGCAAAGCATTTTCACAACTGTGCACCCAAATGACGTTATGATCTCCTCCTCTAGGTGACAGGTAGTACAGAAACATGGGAGGTGGAGAGAGGTACAACATTCCAATTTCCCACCCTGAACGCCCCAAGAAGAGCCACCAGCTCGGCAAGGCCAAGCAGAGGAGCCGTGACCAGAGCGGAGCAGTAGTGGCATCCGTGGGAGGGGCGGCGGGCCTTCACCATCACGGTCACCGCCGGAGTGACAAGGGCACCACCTACCACAGGTCTCCGGAGGCATGGCAGGCCGCGTCTGTGGAGAAGAATGCTTCTGTCCGTTTCGCCACCACCTACGATCAAAACTGGGAGGGCGCAGTGTCTCACCTTAATACGCTGCTAGCAACTCAGGGCAGCCCGAGTTATGCAGGGCCTAAGTTCAGTGAGCCGCCCTCGCCCAGCGTGTTGCCCAAACCTCCCAGTCATTGGGTGTCTTTCCCTATGGGATCCTGTGACCACAGAGAGATAATGGCCTTCCAGCTAAAGAGCCTCCTGAAAGTGCAGGCTTGAGATAGAAACCTCCACCTCATTTATAGCCAGCCAATTTACTGCGACTCTGTTTAGGCACCCGCTTTCCAGGAACACCCCGTGGTTGTAATAGATTTCTCATTTTTGGCTTAAATCCTCTCAAAGTTGGGCATTTGCAACTGTTTCAGAGTTTTCTAACTGTTTTAAAGATATTACAGCCATGTGGCCTTGCTGGTTGGCCCTGCCTTTAGTGGAGTCAGTTTCTGTAACTGATGACTGGATCCTTTTTTTTTTTTAAAAAAAACTTCTGTTTTGTTTTGTTCTTTTTAGTGTTGGCTGTTAAAGCAGATTGAGTGTCCTTTTCCCAACATAGGGGTTGTATTGTAGGTCAGGTAAATTCCAACACTTATACGGTCCATTTCTGTGGACAGACTCTTGTTCTCTTTTTCATTCGTTTTGAGGTTGAACCTTTGGAGTGAGCTCCGAAGCTTCAGGTGCTAAAGTAAGTTCACATTTGTAGCACTTGTTTTTGTTTTTTCCTTTTAAATCGCCCCATTTTATTTTCCTAGATATTACTTTCCTTGTTTGGAATGAAAAAGGCACTCAACTGCAGTTCTGCAGGGAAAAAAAAGCTGTTTTATTTGACATGAGCTAGTAGCTATGTACAGGACAAGCTGAAAGACTGACCTCAAAGGGTAATAAGAGACCATGGCACACAGGCCTTGGACAACCAACTCCTGTATCCTTTTTTATTGCGCTGTGCGCACATGCACTATAGGAGTTGAGTGTGTCCAAAGCCTGCTACACTCTATCAAAGCATTATTTTGTACAAGTCCTTTTGTTGCGATTGAAAGCGCTGTGTGTAACCAAAGCAATGTTATTTGCTGCATATTTTTCACACCGTCTGTGTGGTTAATAACTTCCACTCTCTTGCCTCTGTGGTGAGCGGACATTTCCTTACTGTTCATCTCTACAATCAGTACTGTTACTACCCTTCAGTAGTCTGTCTCTTCAGCACGGCGGTGCGGCCTTAGCGTGCGGAAGGGGGCCACGCTCGCGTGTCCCTGCTAGCTGCACCCGTTTGTGCCGAAGCGAGAGAGAACGAAGGAGCTCTTTCTTTAGGGACGTGTGTGGCCCAAGGGTCTCTGCGTGAGACAGAAGGCTGGTGTTTGTTTACAAGTTCTGTCTCTTATTGACCACCTGATTATCGGCACCCTTGTTGCCTGTTGCCGCTGCCTGATGTTTACCCTCTTGCACTGTAATCAGACTTACCCTTAAAACGGCAGGTTGGGATGCTAGATGGAAATGCAATGGACTATCTCTATGAATTCTCTATTTTATGATTTTTGGTCCTTCGTTAAGGCTCTTTTGTGTTTTTTTTTTTCTTTTTTTTTCTTTTCTTTTCCCTTTGCAGAGTTGAAGCTGTTTATGGCCAGCATAGAAAATAACAAAACAAAGAGATTGTGAATTGTGTTCAGGAGCCATGTATATAATGAAATGTATAAAGTTCTTGTAGCATATGTACATTTACAGGCCATGTTTGATGCCTGTCTGACAAAAGTATTTTTAGTAATAACACTGAATGTATAAGACATGCTAAGGACGTGTCTTAACTTCAATACTGAAGAATATTTTTGTTAAAAAAAACGTAAAAAACTCCCTTCATGCCTATAGCATTTAACCGTACCCAGCACTGTTATCTTTACGGAGATCTTGCACATGTTTTTTATTCTTTTGTATTACACAGTGTAGGGTGAAAGATGCTTAGTGCAAATTATATAAAACAATATTTAAAAAAAATAGCGATTGGATTAAAGGAGACTTGCTTATTTATGGATTTAAAGTTTCAATCTATTTGCATTTTGTAAGCTCGACACTCAGTTGACAAATGTGCCTAAGTTTAACCCCTGTTTTATCTGCTAACTATCACCAACTGTTGCTGTTTTTAGCTTTCAGGTGATCTTCCGCCATCTGAAAGTTAAACTTGGCTCAGTTCTTTTATTTACAGAATTTTGTTCAATTTTCAAATTCCTCCCCGCTTTTCTTTTGGTCACATGACATAGCAAAGTCTCCTTACTCTAAATTGTGAAACACGGAAACAATTGGCCGCTAATTTCTCCCTTGGATAAGTCACCAAGTATTTTGAGACATGCCCTTATTAAGATTGGTTTTAATTGGTGTTAAAAATGTGAAAGAATGCACTTTTAAACTGACATCAAAGTAAAAAAAAAAAGAAAAAAAGAAAATAAATCCCTTCCCTCCCCCCATGTTTGTCTCTCCTTTTTCTGTTTTCTCCTATTTTCCAAGTTTTTACTTATTTACTTAATATTTATTACAATTTTTTTTTTTAGAAAATTACACCCAAAGTTGTTGAAAAAGGTATACCATTTATTATAACGAAACAAAAAAAAATAACTTTTTGGCACTGTTATATACAGCACTGTTATTGTTTTCGCATCAGATGCTGGATTCACACATATCAAAAACTGTCCAGGTAGTTTATAAGAGCAGGGGATGAGAATGCAACCGGCAGTAGTACAATAAATAATATCTAGTGCAAAGTGTTGAAGAGGAAATTTGCGAGCAAAAAGAAGAGAAGGAAGATTTTTCTGAGGGATCCAGATAAGATAAGATGGACCTTTTTATCCTAAAGGAAATTTATCTTGGATACAGACTGCTGCATGCTACAAAATCATGATCGTCATATTACATTCACAAATAAAACCATTTCTGTAATATTATATGAGATATAAATACAGAGTCTCAGTACACCACATTATAAACACAGCAGACACATTGCACTGTAACATTTCAAGGTATTTCCGTTCCATGGGTGCTACAGAAGGTGACTGGACTTCTCGTCACGTGTCTCTTGAAAAACTGATATAATTCAGCAAGTGGAACTGTCCTTGATGACGGAGAACCTACACCCTCCCTGTCCTTAAGAACTAATGTGATATTGCAAAGTGCCATTAAAAGGCCTTTTAGATGTTTTAGTGCTTTTATAAATTCAAACGTCAAAAGTTGTCACATCAAAGTCCAGATCTACGCCTTATTGAAACTTTGGGTCTGGAGATAAAAACCACCTTTTAATTCCGAAGGGATCTGACAGAGATAGGAATATTTCAATCTCCAGATGTGCCTGCCTGATCCACTCAGGCTTATTGTTGTGATTGCAATAGAACATATACCATACTAAAAAAAAATTAGTTTTTTTTTGTACTGCATTACTCGTTTCTTTACTTGTTATTTTTTTTAATGCTTGTTTGACATATTGTTAAATATGTATTCCAGAAATTCCTATTGTGTTTTGAATTTGAGGGCAATGTTCATGGATTTCAGATCACTTGATTTGTTATGTCAATCTACAACAATAAGCCTGAGTGGATCAGGCAGGCACATCTGGAGATTGAAATATTCCTATCTCTGTCAGATCCCTT